TGTTTTGGAGAAAAACATTTATTATGAGAATAATAAAAGTATTAACACAAAAACTAACAAAAGGTGTACTTACTATATACAGGTGTGTATGCGAGTATGCATGTATGTGTGTGTGTGTGTGTGTGAGTGAGTGACTGAGATTCAAAATGGCGGCTGGACACTATGAAGACAAAAGGCCCCCTGGAGTGGTGAGACCATGTGGCTGAGATCACATGTAGGTGTTAAGTTTGTGGAGATGAGTKTGTGAGGTGTTGGTGCCAGGTTAAAGAAAGTAGTTAGATGCATGCAAAGAAGTCATCAGCATAACAGAACTAACATTAACTTTCAGATAACATATTACCAAATATCACAGCAACACAAGTCAAACTTGTAAACATCACATGAAATAGAAATAGGATTAAACAGTCCTTTGCTTAGCCTAGCGTAATAATAAAGCCCAGTTGTGTTACCCGTCCATGAAAAAGAGGGAAAGGTCCTTTTTGGATGTGCTGTTCGAAGTCGAAGTGAAGTGGTCTTGTTGATTTGTGGATCCTGTTGTGCATCTGCTGGTCAGACCTTGTGTCGTGGCCAGTTGTGCTGAAGTTCTTAGGCAGGCTCTCGCGTCGCTGCCTTTGGAAGGTTTTTTTAGCAGTCCGCTCCAGGCAGGCCCGCTAGAAGTTGAGGAGCTTGTGGATGGAGGAAGTGTCCCTAGCTGGGAAAGCAGGGCCAGACCCTACTCCTCCAGGAGAGGTCGGCAGGGGAAGAGGCCGAAGGGCGAAGAGTGAAGAGGAAAGAGTGAAGAGGGAAAGAGAACTAGCAGAGGGGAAACTCGGCTTATATTGGCCTGGTGACCTCATGGGTCATGGGGCACACAGTGACCAATAGTGGTTGAGAGTTGTCTCCAGGAGCAGTTTTACCACCTATGTGTGAAGATGAAGCACCCTGGGAGACTGAGTTCTGGAAGCTGTCCTTTGTCTCCAGAACAAAGATGACATGTGGTCAGGCTTTTGACTTCACATGTAGGCCCAACTATGGTTCACAGATACCAGGTCCCAACAAGTGTAACATTTAACATTTGGATTTAAATATTTGAATATCTCTAAGTTGACAAATATTGTTGTAAATGTGCAAAAAAGTGACTCTAAAAAATTCACACCGGTTTTTTAAACATGAAGCTAAATGTGACAAAATGTTGCTGTTATTTTCAGCGTGAGCTGCTTTACAAACGGCATCCCATATCTTTGAGGCAAACATAGGACAACACTGTGGAATGCCAGGCTCCACTTCTCTACTTTGAAGTGATGTTGAACCTGATTTTTCAGACAAAAAAAGAACAGAAAATGATTTCCTTAATATCTATTATTAGCCTGTTACAGAGAACTGATGACACACATTATGTATAGTTGGAGCACTGAGAAACATTTACAGTACACATCTGGCTGCAACCACTGTTGGTTTCAGTGGATGTTCTTCATGCATGTGGAAATCTTGGAGGTGGTTCACAAGAGATCAGATGTGTGATTTAAGTCAGAATCAATGTGAACGCTGTGCAGTCACAACACAAACGTGATCCTTGTGAACTGTGTTACACCATGTAAACAAAGCTGGAGATGACAGTAGTCGTACAAACAGTAGTAAAGTACAACGTTATGAAAGAACCACAGTGAGGAACAACAACGTGACAGTACAGAACATTACGTGTGAGACTGCTCTAGCAATGCGCTAGCATTAGCAGTAGCATTAAAAAAGGTAAAGAGTGTATTGTCCCCTGCTTCCTTCTTTGTGACATACAATTCATTTGTTGACTTACAGGTTGATGATCTTGAACCAGGGTTCGCGTTAGAACCACCTTCTCAAGAATTTTGGATATGAAGGGGGGTTTTAAAATGGGCATATAATTCTGCGGGAGTAATTGGTCAAGATGTATCTTTTTCAGTAATGGCTGAATGGTGGGTTTCTTAAAATAATCAGGGGGGGTGGATGTTGAGAGGGCTAGAAGAAGAACGCATGTGCGATACATCGGGCTGGGCGATATGAAAACAAATCTTATCATGATTATTTTTTTCATATCAGTCAATAAATCAAATAACCAGAAACTGATTATTGCTTGCTTGTTCAATGAACCTGTGCTACTTTACTATGGAGTTTTTTTCTTTATTCAAGAGTGTGGCCTTTCAGTTCGAGCACATGACTTTATGATCAGATTGTGTATTTCTTTTCATCATGTACTCAAATAGCCCTTGTTTGCACTTAAATTTGCTCTGCTTCTGCTCAAACTGTGTGCTTGCACTCATATATATTGTTGATCGCATGGATTATCTGCGCTCCAGCTGCAGCCCCTCTCTGCACTCAGGCTGCTTTCTGTGCGCTCGTGAATCCACTGCTCTTGGATTTTTTTGTGTTTACAACCCTGTCAAAATTCCCAACGAATAGAATGCCAGGTGTCGTGTTGACCACTGGTCAACCAATGAAATGAATGATATGATCCTTGCCTCTTTGCAGACAGAAATCAGCCCTAAATTTAACATTAATTAACATTTGGTTTGGGTGTTTTTTTGCGCATGCCCACCAATCACGGTCAGTGCCATCAAGTGCAGACCACAAGGTGAACATTTCAGTCAGGAAAGCTTTGTCATGATTAACCCATTTGTTGCAAATGGGGATACAGTTATGATTGGCACTGAAGACTCCATTCTTTGGATGTTCCCTGGATTAGCCAAGCAGCGTAGCTGACAGCTGAGCACATGACTCCCTGTCCTGCATGAACTAACGCAATGCGTTATTTTATGTAAATCAAATTAAAGTTGTAAAACAAGGTTTACTTCCTGTTGCCAGTAGGTGGGGCTATCAGTATCATTACATAAAGACTAATAGATCTGTTCAGGTTGGGGCTCTGATGAAGCGTGACCAATTTGAGGACAATGTACAGTGGAGTTAAATACAACTTCCTGTTTCATGGCGCTATGACCCTGACTTAATTTTGACAGATGGAACTGTTCAGGTCCCATCTCTGATCATAGGTTTTAATATTGGTGCAGATTGGACAACACAGAGTGGAGTTAAAAACAACTTCATTTTCAAGCAGTTCATTAAAGGTCCAGTGTGTAAGATTTAGGTGAAAGGGATCTATTGGCAGAAATTTAATGTAGAATAACTCTCATGATGTTTTCACTAGTTCATTTCATCTAAATTGTATGAATTGTAGTTTTCTTTACCCCAGAAAAGGCCCTTTATATTTTAATACTTTATATTTTCATTGAGGGGGTCCTCTCTACAGAGGCCGCCATGTTTTTTACAGTAGTCCAGATTGGACAAACTAAACACCTTTTGAGTTTTTATGACAACTGAAGGCTACCACAGGTTCTTTTTCATGTTTGGAAGGAGAGGGTGAAGTGAGGGGTGTTCAGCTGCAACATGCAATTTAAACACTAGATGTCACAAAATTCTACACACTGTACCTTTAAGCTCTTAAGGCCACTTCTCTAATCATAGGTTTTATAGTGGAATTTTAAAAAATGTCCTGTTTCACA